CTGGAGCAACGGATTTTGATGTTAGTCTTCAATTAATTTTCATCTTGTGGCTTACCGGGAATATCTTCCATTCTTACTTTCAGCCATTGGAATATGTTGTAAAGATTTACAAGTTGATACTTGTTTACTTGTTTTATGACTGCACTTTACCTGGTCAACAGGTCTGGAGTGGGGATTGAACCAAGATACTTATTCAAAGGCAGGGAAGCTGGAAGGCATTCTTGTTTCATATTTACTAACGAGTTTCAGTTCTCATAGTAACTCGGTTTAAGAAGTGCCAGGGATGTTGGAAAATCTTCACAGAACAACTACAGAACTGGAAAATTTAATGTGATGAAGAAAAGAGTTTGAGCTACAGGGCAAAACAAGCCTTTCTTATAAGGTTGTACAATTTGTGTGATGTAGTGGTAGATTATTCTAATAATGTGCAAGGCATTCTAATATTAAAAATTCCTTATTCTGAACCTCTTCTAAATTCTACCTAATGAGAAATCTCCATCTTCCCAGGCTATTGGATGCAATGAACAATTAATAATGTATTAATGAGAGTTCATTATTCACCCAATATTTCTGTAACTGTACTGTTAACATCTTCAACCACAAATGTTGAGTAGATGATTTTTTTTCCTGAGTTCTGCATCATCAATGCTACCAATATTCAAAGAAATTTAAATTTTATGTGACATTAAAAACCAGTCTAAGTGTATATGGGCTCTGAAAACATCCCAGCTGTAGTGAAAACAAAAGCTGATCAAAAGAGTTGACAGCACCTTGCCACACTACTTATCTCTGGATAGAAATAGTATGCAAAGAAATGGGCAAAAAGCAGGAGACTGACATGAGGTCAAAATACTCATTTGAAGAGCCAATGCAGGCACAGTAGGCCAAATGGCCTCTTTCTGTGCTGTCACAATTCTGTGATTCTTTGGTTCTGTCCTGTACAGCTATGACTCTGAAATCTATCTGATTTGAAGTAAGAATGCTGAGATATACCCTGTCTACAATTAAAAAACAAGTTAAATCCAATCCACTAATTAATGTTTTAATAGTTTCTTGTTGATCATTAGTAAAATGATGGAAAGATTGATGAGGCCATTAAATATATTTGTTCATATGTGACCTATTCACAGATACTCAATTTTTGTTCTACAAGAAACATTCTGTTCCAGATCTCATGACAGCCTTGTTGTTATACAAGGACTAACTGGCAGAGAAAAGATTAAAGAAGTCACCCATTGTTAATCCTGCTCAAATTTAATTCTATTGATATTTAAAGATCAGCATCTGAACATGTTCCACAATAAGGAGACAATGCACTGTACCAAATTACTATCCAAGCAACTGGACAGAAAATTACAGACACATTGTCCTGACATGCAACCTTAGGAACACCTCAGGTTCAACTAAGCTCATTTTAAAGTAATCTTTTACAGCAAAATAATGTATTTTGTATCACTTGACCTAGTACTCCTGTTCTTGAAAGAGAGTATAGTAATTTATCATTTACAATTTCATTGAAGATATGAGAATACTATTTTTAAAGAAAATCTTCATTCACAATGCTGCTTTTGAATCTGCATTTCAGAGGTTAGGGCAAGGAATCCTTGGAAACATTGACCTATTTCCTTGGGTTTCCAGAAATTAGCAGAAAAATTTGGAAACTGCTATTTTTAGTTACAGCGCTTGAATGCAGTACTTGAAAACAGTTCCTGGCAAATGGTAAAGAGCCAATGTTGCCAGATATCAGAATGACATTTAATCATTTATAAACACCTTAAGGTTATTTACAGGGTCCTTAAGGTCATTTTCATTTCTGAAAATTTCATTCCTTATGAAAAGTGCTTATTAACACCTTACTGCACAAAAAGAACAAAGTTTACTTTTAAAACACCTTTTCACAAAAATAAACTTTAGTCTGTAATTTTAAAAATGTCATGCCTTTTATCTTTATCTACATAAAACTTTTAATTTTATTTCTTTTAATTCAGAATTCATTTTTCTAAACACTACAGTCTTATTTTTCTGATGAAGGGTCTGTCCAAAAGTTAACTCTGTTTTTCTCTCAACAGATGCTGCCAGACCTGTTATGTTTCTTCAGTACTCTGTTTTTGTTTCAGATTTCCAGCATCTGCAGTTCTTCGAATTTATTTTATTACTACAGTATTATTTTCTACCAACTAACATTTTCCACTGTATTTATTACATTAATTTTTGAAATGTGGAAAAGAAACTGTCTTGGAGTATTTAAGAACTCATATTAGTAATAACAGCTAGTATATTTTGGTCTTATTTGGATTCAGTTTTTAATAATATGCAGTAGTGTTGCAGGAGATCAGTCCAGAAAATTCAAATTGTGCAGGGATTTGTACACTCAATTTTTGTATGATACTGTAAATCATTTATCTTACTGAAAGTATTTGTGGTATTCTTAAAGTGCTTTGAAACATTTTGCAATGACAAGACATATAAAATATCCTCATGCTTTAAGAAATTATTTATAAATCTGTACAGACTCATTCAAAACTTTGGGATATTTTGTCCAACCCTGTGTAAATCTACAATTCTGTACAGATTTCATGTCACACTCACATAAAGTGAGAACTCACCAGTAAAAGCAAGAACAAGTGGAATTTTCTTCCCCAGAGAACAGTGGAGAGTGGGTCATTCAATATAGTTAAGGCTGAGTTAAGTGGATTCTTGGCTGACAAGGAAGTCAAAAGGTACAAGGCATATTCAAGAATTTGGAGGTGAGGCCATAATAGATCAGCTGTGATCTTATCAGATGATGGAGAAGGCTCAGGGGCCAAATGGCCAACTGTTCCAAAGTCGTATGTTTGTCTGTAAATTTAGATATTAAAGCTAAGCATATACAATTAGAATCATAGAGTCATACAGCATGGAAACTTCTGCATAATATTCCTTTCATCTTCTAATAATTACTCAGTACATTGAATATTGTCAACTGATTACACCTTCTAGCCCACCAATGATATTTCAATGACCGTCAGTCCAACCAGTCCATGCTGACTGTGTTTCCCAAAGAAACTAGTCCTACCTGCCTGCACTTGGCCCATTATCTCTCCAAACCTTTCCTATTCATGAACTTATCCAGATATCTTTTAAATATTTTAACTGAACCTGCATCCACCACTTTCTCTGGCAGTTAATTGCACACACAAACCAATCTCTGTGTAAAGCAAGTTGCCCCTTGTGTCCTTTTTAAATCTTTCTCCCCTCCCCTTAAAAATATGCCCCCTTGCTTTTGAACTCCTGCACACCAGGGATAAGACCCATGTCATTCACCTTATCTATGCCCCTCATGATTTCATAAACTCACTAAGGTCACCCCTCAACCTTTTATGCTCCAGTGGAAAAGAGTCCCAGTCTTTCCAATCTATTTTTTATTCTCAAACCCTTCAGTCCCACAACATCCTAGTAAACCTTTTCTGAACCCTTTCCAGTTTAACAATATTCTTCCTAGAATGTTTACATGTGTAATCTGCTGAGAAATGTTATACTGTAACCAGAATCATGTATCTCAGCTAATGAAAGTTTAAGTTCTGACTCAATAAGTAAACTTGAAATGCCTCATAGATATATTTTGAAATGTTATCAGTGGGCTAGGCCTCCTGCAGTGCCACAACGATGCCACCTGAAGGTTGCAGGAACAGCAACTCATATTCCGCTTGGGAACCCTGCAGCCCAATGGCATCAATGTGGATTTCACAAGTTTCAAAATCTCCCCTCCCCCCACCGCATCCCAAAACCAGTCCAGCTCGTCCCTGCCTCCCTAACCTGTTCTTCCTCCCACCTATCCCCTCCTCCCACCTCAAGCCGCACCTCCATCTCCTACCGACCAACCTCATCCCGCCCCCTTGACCTGTCCGTCCTCCCTGGACTGACCTATCCCCTTCCTAACTCCCTACCTACACTCACCTTTCCTGGCTCCATCCCTGCCTCTTCGACCTGTTTGTTTCCTCTCCACCTATCCTCTCCTCTATCCCTCTTCTATCCGCCTCCCACTCTCTCCCTATTTATTTCAAAACCCCCTTCCCCTCCCCCTTTTCTGATGAAGGGTCTCGGCCCGAAACGTCAGCCTCTCTGCTCCTATGATGCTGCTTGGCCTGCTGTGTTCATCCAGCCCTGCACCTTGTTGGCTAGAAGGTGTGATCAGTTTACACTATTTAATGTACTGAGTAGTTAATAGAGGATGACAGGAATATTATGCAGAATAATACACTTTTCCCTGGATCAGAAATTCAGTGCCAAAGTCTTGAGAAGTAACTTAATGGCTTGGAATTTATAATTAGATCAAGAAAGTATCTACCTGAAATTAGCTACAGGTGCAGATTGTGTTGAGACATACCAGTCGACTGACTCTTACATTTGTACAGTTCAACGAACGTTGTTCAGGCAGGAATTAGCCTGCCTTATTTGTAAACTCTGAAAACTGTCAGACTATCTTCTGCAGGAGGCTTCAGGTTGGTTCGCCCCTGTCACAATGAGGGCTGAAGATACCAATGTTCTCATTGATCCAGAAGGATCTGGGGACAATTGCTATGTTGCCAGGGCAAGGTACCTCAGTGCAGCGCTGGCAGCACTGTCCAAGGTGCTGAGTTTCAGTTGGGACATTAGCTGCTTCTCGGATGACAACAAACCGACCCTGCGGTAATAATTTGAAAGACAGCGAGCGAGTTGCCTCAGCATGCTGAGCAGGATTCACTCCTCACCGAAAAGCTCTCACAAAGACACGAGGCAACTACCTATCTCACTACTTTATGTGACATGCCGTACACACAGTTGCTGCCGCCTCCCCTTCTATTGCAAAGCGAGCTGCACTACAAATGGTTGTATCGCGAAGGAGTTGTGGGACGAGTGTAAACAGCCACCGAATGCTCAAGAATTATTTTACAAAGCAGAAACATGCACACAGCTTTTTTCTCCTGTTGCTCCCCCTCTCCCACCCTCCCCTGCGAGCTGGAATGATGCGGTCATCTCACCGAAGACGGTGTTGGCGAATCCGTACCAGATGCAGCCCATCTCCCCGATGAGCCAGCGCTGCCGGGCGCTGGCGGCGAAGCTGAACGGGGTGCCCAGGGTACACACCAGCAGGTCGCTCACCGAGATGTTGGCGAGCAGCAGGTTAATGGGAGAGCGCAGCACCTTGTAGCGGCAGAAGAGCAGCAGCACCAGCATGTTGTTGGTGAAGCCCAGCAGCCCGATGCTGCCCAGGCACACGGCGGCGACCAGGTGCCCGCTGGGGCTCAGGGTGAAAGCTGGAGCCAGCTCCTGGGGAGAGAGAGCCCCCCTGTGCCCGCACAGCCCCTGGCTCCCCTCGCTGCAATTCACACTCAGGTTGGGAGAGAGCATCCCGGCCAATACATGCAACTGCAAAGATCCAAGCAACCTCTCGGCTGTGGAGTCGCCAGACAAATGCAGCTTTGCCATACCGCTCTTTTTTTCAAACAAGCCTCTCGCCTTGAGCGCAGGTGACGTGCAGACGGAGAGAGAAAAAATCCCTCCCACCGTACGCCCTAGCAGAGCCAGGCATCGGTCGGTTCACCGCCCGGACCCCGGCTGTCAGATCAAACAGCGGGCTGCATGTATCATCTCACTGCCTCCTGACTGTAAGCCAGAGGGAAGGCTGCCTGCGCCGTCCCTTCTCTCGATACGTTTCATCTTGGTCCCTGGAGGCAGAGCCCACCTTTCACCATACTGTGGAGGCAGGCTTCCATCAGGGGAACATCACCAGCCACGTCAACTCCACTTCCTTTTATTCAGGGATTCACAAGGGGGAAGACCTGCTGAAGCTGTACGCGTTTACTCTTGTCAACTTTCCCAGAATGACAGTCTGAGAGAGAAAGTCACAAATACTTCAATTGACCCTTCCAAAAAAATAAATAACCAGCAGGACACATCAGGAATACCACACACCTCATCTTGATACCTATATCCTTGATAATTCCCATGATCCTCTTTCATTCTGAGGGTCAGACACCTTAACAAGGATGGCCGCGGGGAGACAAGGGCTGTCCTCTGCAACCCTTTCAGATAACTCCATACTTGGCTAGCTCAGTTGTCAGAGAAGTTCATAGACACCCTACAGTGTGGAAACAGGCCCTTCGGCCCAACAAGCCCACACCGACCCTCAGAGCGTCCCACCCAGACACATCCCCATATAATCGAACTAATCTACACATCCTTGAACACTATGGACAATTTAGCATGGCCAATCCACCTAGCCTGCACATCTTTGGACTGTGGGAGGAAACTGGAGCACACGGAGGAAACCCACGCAGACACGGGGAGAATGTGCAAACTCCACACAGACAGTTGCCCGAGGCTGGAATTGAACCCGTGTCCCTGGCACTGTGAGGCAGCAGTGCTAACAACTGAGCCACCATGCCACCCTAGTTGTCTAGACAGCTGGTTTGTAAATGCCGAGTGATGCCAACAATGTGAGTTCAATTTCACAGCAGCTGAGTCTGCCATGAATGACTCTTTTTCTCAACTTCTCCCCTCACCTGATTCGTGATGCCCCTCAGGTTAAGTCACTACCAGTTATCTCTGCCTGAGATAATGAGAGAGCAGCTCTATGCTACTTTGGGACCATACTGGAATGCCTTGGCTGAGCCTGAGTGCACATACAATGGAGCTCAATCCTTCATGAGTGTTATCATGAATCAGAAGTCAGGACTCTGGAAGATGAAATTTAGATGCTTGGATGGATCTGGGGTTCTTCCATTGCACTCTAGACAGAATGTCATGCATAATCCTAGCATGCTGTGCCTTGCACAACTGGAACAGTCAAACCGGGGAAGTAATGGATGCTGAAGAGCAGTAACAGTTCTCCTCCAAGGATGATGGGGATATTGAGTTGGAGGAACATCATATTGACCATGTTGGAGTGTTGCAATGTAGGACTCAATTGATATTAGCTTTCAATAGATTTGAATTGGGTGAAGACATTGTTCATTGATTGTAAATTTATTACTACTCCAAAGGCAAGAAGACTCTATTTAGTTCCAACTACAGCATTTTTTGTTTGTTCTTTCTTCACTTCTCATGTTGTATGATAAAAGGTTAATGTTAACAAATGTTTGAAGCCTTCACAACATCTGCTGCTCCCATATTCAAAAATGACAATATGTTATGTTCTGATGGACATTATGAAAAGAGTAGCACTCCTTTAGATAGAGTTCATGCATTGTGTGGTGCTAATGAAAGGTAGCTTTTGTGGCTTGATTCTTGGTTCTACAACTAAAATGATAGTTGATCAGACAGGTGATTATACAAGTGCAAATATATTTATATATGTGATGTTCTATCTACAATGAAATGTCAGCTGTGCCACCTACGTGCCCCTCAGACAGTTTTCTTTTTCTTTGCTCTCTTACTGTATCTAAGTGCTGATCCTGGGTCCATAGCTGGGGTGGAAGAAGCTGGCCCTATATTGGAGTTTGTTAGCCTTGATGGGGTGGATAGATAGACCCAGGGGTGTTTGCGGCAAGAGGGCACAGACATACTGAGAGGTCTTGCCCAGATACAAGCTCACCACCTCAGCTGGGTTGCAAGCAGGTTGGATGTGGAGGTGCTGAGTGCCTCTAGAGTGTCCTAAGAGGAAATCTCTTGTGACGTTGCATGTGGTTTCTCCACCTTCTGGGTGCTTGCAGTCACACCCAGTATCTCTGAGAGAGAGGGGCAACTGGAGAGAGTTTGAGGTCCCTCATCTTCCTAATACCTTGCTGTTGGTGCTGAGAACCTATTACTACAGGAATCCAGGAATACAGGTCTGCATGCATCTCCAGCAGCCATTGAGATTTCTGTTGCACCCAGCTGTCCATGGTATCTACCAAATGTCTATGGAGTCAGCCAAACACAGGCATGCCAGAGCCGGCATGGATCATGTTGGTGGACTTCTCCAACCTTCGATGCAGGTTAATGAGTACATAAGACAAATCTGTCTGCTGTTTTTGTGTCTGGTTATGCATTTGCATCAAGTTGCTAATGGCTCACAGCACTGGGGTCTTCCTCTGCCTGGGCCTGAGCAAGTGTCTATCTCTGGAAGTCCTCTAGGTGTCAGAGACCTGGGGCGTTTCTTTCTTGGCTAGCTGTGGAGGTGTGCCAGTGCTGTGCTCACTGGATTGCGTTCCTGAGTTTAATTTAGGTAAGTACTCACTGAAGTGATGGTATCTGAGCTGGTGTAGGGTGCAGGATGCAGCCTTGCCAGTGCTTCCTCTGAAGGATCTGTCGCTTCTTCCTCAGAGATGGAGGAGGAGCTGATGGGCAGAGGGCTGGTTTCTTCAAAGCAGAAGCCCTATAGGTGCCAATAGGGGTGGTGGATTAAGCATCTGAAGAATTCATACTCTGTGGTAGTAATGGAATATGCAGCATTATTAGGCTTATTTGGTTGCTGGGACAGTGGGGTCTTGTATCCTCACAGGAATTGTTCGAGTCTTCTCCTACCAGATCAAGGATTTTCACCTCCTAGGCTCCAAGGAGATCTAATGTCATCTAAATGGACAACCCACCTTGGCCATTTCAACCTTGTTGTGCACAGTTTTTCTTCTGCAATAAGACAATTGAGTGAGATGAAAGTAGCTGGGAAAGTTGTTAATGTTGGTGCAGGAACAGGAATTGGGCTGAGGTGTCCTCAGTGAGTTAGTAGGAAGTGCAGAGGGAGGGAAGGGTTCATAGTTTGAAGGATGAGGTGGGTGATAGCTGTTGAGTTAGCCCATATACCTTAGTGGGAGCTGGTGCAGAGGCAGAGTTTGCATGAGTAAGAAATAGCAGAGATGAGATGGAGACACTTCCCTTTGTAAAGCGAAGAAGCTCATTGACCTCCTTCCAGCATTTCTGCATGTACCTCCAAACTGTAGACACCACAATAAGCCAAGTGGCAACTTTGGGCCAAGCTGGCAGGTTCTGGTGCCATGATCTCTGTTGGCAATCCTGATTGCTGCTAATTGAGTTTCATTGTGCTGAAACCACCTCCAGGAAAAGCACAGTTCTTTGGTTTTGTGATACAGGAATATTCCACCAACTGGCTAGAGCTCTGTTCCATGACTTTCCTGGTTCTTCACTTCAAAGTGCACCTTAACTCCTTGTGGTTCTCTCATTGGAGATTTGCTAGACCTGGCAGGTTTTTACATTATTTTCTGTTTATATTTCGTGATTTTATAGTATTTCGATTATTTGGTGCAAGAACTAATTATATTTCAGTATATGATTGCATTCTTTATGTTTTCTACATTAAAATGTTACTCTGTCTTTATTCCTTGAATGGAGTTTATAAATTTTCTATAGTTACTTCTGAGTTTAGAGCTGTTGCAAAACTAATATAGACAAAATTCACTAAACCTCAAACAGTTCTGGAGATCAGTGTGGGATTAAATGGCTTGTTTTGCTTCCAATGTAGGCAGCACATCAACTTGACACTACCTGCTCATTAATCTGCTTGTCACATGCACTGCAGTCATTGCTAATGAGTGGCTGCTCTCCTCAGCAGGAAGTTCATCATCATGAGATGATAGCAACACTTAAAGCAGATTCACAACTCAGTGTATGTGTACTGGGTCTTTTGCAGATCCTGTAACACATTCTATAACATATTTTGTTTCTGAAGGACATATTTCTGAGGCTGGGGCCAGAAGCAGTACCAAAACACAAGAAGATGACAATATCTTCATAACTGATCTTCTTTCTCCCAACACATTTCCTTCTCATTCCACAATTTCTTGAAATAAACAAACATAAAGCACATACCCCTAGCTTTCCTCTACTCTCCAATGACTACCCTTGAGTTTTTCTCCTTCCAGATGTACACATATTACAAATTGGCGACATAGAGATGGAAGAGCACAGATACAAGAGCAGGAAGACAGTGATGAGGAAGAAACACCAAGAGCACTAATGGAATCCAAAAGGGTGATTGGTTGATTTTTGTATACATTACAGTATGGTTTAATTCATAAATTTGATTTGCACTGTTGATTTTGCGATGGTTTTTATTTTGGTGTTGTGGTCAAGTGGACGCTGTGTGATCAATGGTATAATTGTTCACAACAACCGGTCTATATGATTTCATTTTTTTCTCTATTGCCCCCTCACTCCTCAGCTGCTCACTGTTATAAAGACAGTGCCTTTTTATCTTTGTGCATTTTAACATTGTGAATTGAAATGAGGGAACGAATGTTTTAAAACCAGTGGTTGAAAAGAATTGCTGCATGCTTCAAAAAGTAAGCAAACTGACACTTAAGTGTTAATATAAACGGCTGTTTGAACATGCAGGAATTGAAGTGATTGCAGATGAATTAGAACTGAGGTGTTCTATGTACAGATGTAGCTGTGTGGCCTAATTATAACTATAA